GAGAGGCATGCCAGTTTGCCCCGCCAGTGAATGAGACCATCGCTATCACCCTGTTGTCCAACGGGGAATAATTGCAAGGTCCCGAGTTCTTCTCCCGAAAAGAAAGGCTGGGTGCTGCTGGGGATACCACTTGATACCATATTCTCATGATTCCTCATGTTTGATCAAGTGAAGCCAACGTAAAAGAGAGTCTCCTAAGATTAAGTAACTAGTACGTTGCACAGCATGGCTTGTCAGAACTTCCGGATAATGACTGATATGGCAGCCATGCCATAAATATTTCAAGATGAACCCCTCAGACCTGATCTCACACATCTCCATCAACAGTAATGCACCTCCCGAGATGAAGAAAGATGGAAACGCATACATATATGTATATATATATACCGATTGATTTTGCCGTTTATTGGTTTCTCACTTTATCATTGTCGCTGTCCATCTTCATCCTTTCAGCGTGTCGCTCTGTGTGATGTGCGCCGTGAATTGGGTTTCTGTGCAAAAACTAATCTCAAAGTAATTGGTCTGGTCGAGAACATGAGTGGTTATCGGTGTCCACAATGTACTCATTGTTCTAACTTGTTTTCTTCAGGAGGGGCAGAGTCACTGGCTGCGGAGAAACAAGTTCCATTTCTTGGTGAGATTTCGCCGTTCAGTGTGTTAGAATTGCAGTTGGGTGTATCACCTATTCATTTTTTTGTTGCGTTCGTGTGAGCCCATTATTGTCTTGATATAGATAATTTCAAGGGACCAAATATTACGTATTCATATTGTGCTATGCAATGTCATCTAATTACTACGTCTGCAATAATGCCCTACTGTGCACATTAGGATGAGCTCACTACAATGCGAGATGGTCCTGTTGATCTAAGTTGACAATCTCCCGGGAGACAGAAAAGCACGAGGTTGTGATATATCATGTGTATCAGACCGCTACAATTTATCTCAGTCCATATAACCATTAACCTTGCAATTTCCTGCGACCGTTTTAGTTGCTGTCTTCTAGGTACTCAATTGAATAAAGAAGTAGAGTGAATTACTGGGATGTTTAAAGATGCACAATACAAATAAACTCAATTTGTGAAAAAATTGAATCGATGCAAGAACATCATTGTTTATGACAGTCATTTTACTCCGTGTATCTCACTAACGATTATACCGATTCCAAAATTCCTATCCAGGAAAACCAATGCACGGGTTTCCTGATCAGGGTTTCGATACCCTCATGACAGGACTTTGTTTGACCACCATCGTATTTTTCCATCCATTACTTGCCTCGGTAAACAGCACACACTAACGGGGTCTATCTGGCGGCTTGCGTAACACACGCCCCAATCAATGTAATCTATGGTGGTCGAGCACTTGCTGTAGTGCGTGCTCACGAATGCTTAAAACTCTGCTCCTTTCCCCAGCATTGCATGTCCGGTTATCTCACCAGGCTCGTGCAGTGCGGCCACCGGTTCTCTTTGCACCATAAAACATTGCCTCATGCACTTCACCTTTCACAGACGGCCCCGGTGCCGTAAGTTGGCAAACCCCAATCGAGCCTTCTCTACGCTTTGACGATACTACATCGATGATATGCCCACCGGTTAAAATGTTGCTGCCCCAATAGCCATTTTTTTTACTTTCTTTGGTGCTTTCTCCATTAGAGTATGTTTGTGTGAGTTCGTTTTGATGAATACTTATTTGTACTCTCGATATGAATAACCGAACGTGGATATGGTCGTTGAAGAAAATGCGTTGGTGGAATAACTTCAAGGCAACAAACCACTTCAAAACAAAGCGAAATTGTGCGCAGAAATTCAAAAATATGAGAGTTCATTCGGCAACTTGTTGGTTATATATCTCGACCTTACCGTTATAAAAAAAACTGCATTGCAAAGGTCAGGTGAGTTCTTCGAAACCATGAAAATCGCACTACCCATTTTCGTGCAGCAGATCCTTGTCCTCTTACCAGGAAATGTGTAAAACTTTTCAGAATGATATTTCGGTTTTTCTCTATCCAAAATTAAAGTTACTGTGAAAACATTTTTCGAACAGGTCACTGGGTGATATCCTGTGGGGACATTATTTTTTTGGATTAACCATCCTTCAGACATCATCTAGACGCACCATTCTCAGTTGATTCATTCAGCCATGCACTCCAAATGGACTTGACTTGAGTTTCGCTCTCACTAGAACTCATCAGTAATGCATATCCATTGTTCAGTTCGAGTTCTGAACTCCGAACTCATGTTGTGGAATCAGTGATTAATTTCTAACGTGTCTTTCCATCCCCTGGTTTCAAGTCTCTGTAATTCTACTGGTACATTTGAAAACTTCGAAAACAGTTGTTCGCGTGAATTCTTAGTTCTCGTTTCATATTTATCGTTTTCCATTCACTTGGTTAGAGATAGTGATATGGCTGAGTGTCGCAAACAGTGGCGCTCGTGCATATTCTCAATCTCTTTGCAATCTTAGCCGTAATTATCTACTTTTTCGTTGACACTGTCGTCAACATTCCAGTCTTCCCTCTACCCCTTCCTCCAAATGGGCAGAAAAAAGGTAGCAATGAAAACTACTGCACAAGGGTATTTGGTTAATGGTAATAAAAACTGAATAGAACTGAAACTGGATTCAAGGTTACCGCATTCTTGTTATCGTGCACTCCCTCACACTTGGTTGTCATCTTAGTTGTGCTGCTGAACACTGACTTATCTATTCTTCTTTTGTCTGTTGCAGGAAGTCTTCCTATCGACCCAGTGATCACTTCGCTCTGCGATTCCATGGATGACTTTGTCAGCAAATCGCATCAAACACCTGAAATGAGTAAACTGGTTGAATCCGTACTCTCGTTGTGTCCTGTGATAAGCGCCACACCACATTCTGTGAACTGCAACACGTAAAACCAGAACCTGTTTATTAATCTCCCGTCATTCCAGGACGGTATTGAATATGAACAGCTTGTACATAACACTTGACTTTTCACTTGTATCCACAATGTTGAATTGTGTTCGTACTTTGTCTCATTTAGGAAATTTTCGACCCATCATTTGTGTGATAAATACTCAAGAATATATGCAGGTCAGACACGATTTTTGCAGTTACGCTATCACATGTATGCGATAATTACTCTGGCCAGGGAGTTTTTCGCTGGACATACTGTGCTTATATCAAATATCCGCGTAAGCCTAAAACCAACTTAGGTGCATAAAACAATGAAGGGATTCATCTTGTCCGTGCAAGGGGTATTACATAGGAGATAGATAGGAATCTGTGATCTGTTAAACCATCACACTGAGACTGCACCTTGATGTGATTTTATGGATTGTGCACCTCTCTGACCCAACGAGCTACACAGGATGGCTTTTGTCAAGCCGAAGACCATACCTGGAAGGTCGAAGGGTAGAGTGTTATGTTCGGACTAGACGTACGAATGACACGAGCGACTCTTGCTTAACCCCCAACGATAANCCCGAATTGTGCCTGTTGCTGTTTAAGAATTTCCTGTAACTGCTCCGGCCTGATCAACATTGTGGATCCGTAAATTTTCCCGTCGTCAGTTGTGTTCGGACTAGACGTACGAATGACACGAGCGACTCTTGCTTAACCCCCAACGATAACGCGGAGAGAGAGGACACAGGTTGAGACAGCAGTCAGTGTGTCTCCTCTGATTATATATAGATACGCAAATATGTATAACAAATCACGCGTACGAGAACGGCGCAGTGAGGCACCAATCAATCAGGTCGCATTCATGACATATCAATTGATCGCTTGGACAAACATTGACTGATTCGTTCCAATTGGGCTCAGCTTGTCTGGCGCGTGCGTGTGGCCTCATTCGGAGGAGTGCGCGATCGGACGGGTTGCTTAAGCTCCGTCTTAACAGAGGTCAGACGAAGTCCAGTCACCTGGTCCTCCAGGCTGGGGGTTCAACTAGAATTTTCGTTCCAGTCGATAAAAAGTGACAGAGGAGTAATTGATCCAATTAAATGGGTCTCCAGTTCGTTGCACCCGCTGCCTTGCGGCTAGATTCTTGTCATAGGTATGATCACCGATTCCCACCATCCCGCTGGGATCTGTTGCCTCTCCCACACTGAGCCCAAGAGTTTCGTTAACTCCAAAACCAAGATTGAACCTCCATCCTTAAAAGCTGATGGGGACAGCCCGTCGGGACCGGAAGTCTTATGCCGTTTGAGATAACTTGTTTCCCGGGTAACCTCTATTTCAGATGGAGGACTGATGTCAGCTGGCAGTATTTGCACAGTTGAAGCGGGTAGCGGGAGGTCTTGTGCAGACGAGGACCAGCTGAACTGAGCTTTAAAGTGTTCTGCTCAACGATAAAAACGGGGTTGCTGAGTATGAATCAGTGTGTCATCGGATTCCTTTATTACCTCGCCTGCTTTCCTTGGATCTGTTCTCCTAATTAATCGGAAAAGATTGCGACCATTACCAATAGCCGCAGCTTTCTCCATCTCTACACACCACTTCTCGCGGTCATTCCTCAGACTCTATGAGCTGGCGTTTAAGGGATTTGCGAGCATTGTCGTATTTGAATCCGATGGAATGGCTTTGCGAGCGTCCGGCAGGGCAACCGAGGTCGGGGTAGATTCATCGTTTTCGGTTTGATCATGTCCCAGAATCGGCCGTTGCCCTTATTTAAGTTTGGATTGTTTTCTTGAATTGATCCCAGTGTTCGCTGAGTCCTTTGGCTGATGGTTGAGCTGAGAGGTCATCCGAGAGTTCCGCTTCGAAGGCCAATTTGCAAACATTGCTGACACCGTATTGTGAGCATCCGTTTTCGGTGGCTTTTCTGCGGTTGTTTATCCGGCGTATGGAGAAGCTCACTCGTAGCAGAGCATGGTCCTAGTGCACGTGTGTTGACCAGTAGGAGCGGCAGTCTTCAATGGATCCTCGCCAGCGGTGGCTGACGGCGAAGTGGTCGATTTGAGTCCAGCACTGTGAAGCGGTTGACGGTCTCCACGTAAGGCGGCACCTTCACTTCTGGCGAACTGCAATCGGTCGGTGCACAGGATACGACGAACAAACATCGACGTTTTGTTCTGTAGCTGTTGATCCGTACTGAACCGTCCAAATGTACAGCTCAAAGTCGGCTATTAACCGGGTTCCAGTCGAGAAGCGAACGCTCGGCCTTGACACTCAGCGCCATCCCAACACCAGCAACATCGCGAGCTTCGGATATCGAATCGCCTGGCACACGGAGAGTAAAGCGTGAGGATGAAGTGGGATCTGTAGAACGCAGGGAGATGAGTGAAGCAGGTTCTTGTATGCGTATTTCGGAGACACAGCATACATCAAAATGGAAGGTTTCAAGGGTTCTTGCTAAGACAGGTTGTTGACCAATCTGATAGTGTGCGGACACAGTGCAGCTAAGTGAAAAGAAGACTTCGCGGTAGCCCATAC